AGAAAACGAAAAAAATGAAAAAAAAAAAAAAAGAAAAGGGGGGGGGGGGGGGGGGGGGGGGGGGGGGGAATGGAAAGTTGTGTTGAAATCATTACACAAAGCAAATCACATCAGGGTTTAGAAACGAGGTAAAACAAATCATTTCCAAAATGTAAGTAATATTGCTTTTTTGTTTCTAACGCTAAAATGAGTTTTTCAAAGTGCGATGTTAAGAAAAAAGCAATAAAATATTATTGTTATGTAATAACTAAAAAATGAATACTCGATAACAGTGATTATGCAAAAGATGGCAATATACGGTTGGTGCGATGCTATGTATTTCTTATTTGTTAAAATTAAAATCGAGAGATTATTATTTATCAAGTAATTTTAAATACTTTGTGAAATGGGAAAATTAAATTAATCGATAAATTCAATTATCGTTAAATCACATAGTCATTAAATCGCGTCCTGACTGTAAATGAGACAATGATTTATTATTCACAGCCATTCATTATTTAGACATGCATTCAATTTCTGGGGTGCGAGTAACAGTTACGCGTTTGATTTTTTTATAACTTTAGATGACAGGTATAAATAATTACTTTTTTAATATCTTACATAAAGATAAGTTTTAATACATTACATAGGATGAATTTTTAATATATTACATTGGGTCAGGATAAATTTAAAAATACAAATAAAAGAGGAGACACTTGTGTACTTTAATATGAATTGTAATTGTAATATTCGAAGTTGCTCCATTATCTTTTCTCTTGATACGATTCTATAAATCTCTTAGATTTTGACGGTAATTCCAAAAAGTCGTCTTTTTCTGCTTCTTTATCCATTGCCTCGAGTTTGTGTAGATAGTCAATATCAAAAAATGTTGCCCTGAAGAAAAAGTTCTGGTGCGTGAAGCCGTTTTTGAAAACTCTGAAATATCACTAGACGCGTTTATTAATTGACCAGGATTTTCTGGACTCTATTAATATTGATGCTTTTCCTGGTTTTGTTGGTGGTGAACTATCCAGTATAGCTTGATTGTTTTACTCTAGTTCCTTTATTCTCTGTAGGCTATTTATTAAAGATAACCTGACGATTAAGTATATCTATAATATATGTGCCTAAGAAATAATAAAATTAGTAATTAATAATTAGGTAAAAAATGGGAAACAAAAATTTCAAAATGAATTTGTGCGTCTACGTTTGCGAGCTACATGAGACATGTCTTGATTATTTATCTTACGAGTAAATAAACTTATTGTCGTTAATGGATATGTGTATTAAAAAATGTGAATAATGCTATGTGCTTTAGACGAAAAAATATGTTTTCTATAAAAAATAAAAAGCAAACTATCGTAATATAATACAATCGTGTGATGTGTTATTGTTCATAACGATGATGCTTTTGCGTGTGGGTCAGCTGCACAGTGAAAGTTAGCAAAATAGGATATAAGAAATAGTATCGATATGAAAATTTATGTACACCCAAGCGAGAAATTTCTTTTTAGCTTCAATTACGTAGTAGCGGTAGCGGTAGGTTACCGTTAATCTAAAGCAAATACCGTAATAACGATAACGATAATGCAGACAATTGTTCCGATTGTATTGATAAGCAAAACGAGTTCTGTTCATGAAAAACCACTTTATATCAATATGCAACAAAATAACATTACAGTATTGGTATTGCGTTTTTTTGTTAACGTTAGCGCTAAATACATATAACGATAACGATAACGATAACGATAACGATAACGATAACGATAACGATAACGATAAATGAAGTAAATCAGTCAATGTCGATATATCGATTAGAACTACTATTTTCTCTTCATTCTCTTTGATTTCATGTGGTGTACTTCTGTTTTGCACCACCAAAGAAAAAGATACTGAATTAATTAACGAAAAACTAATATTAAATCTATTTACCTTCATAAACTGACAATATGAAATGCTAACGTTGGGATCCAGAACATTATGTTAATATTTCTATATTTTGCTTCAGTTGAGAGAAAAGTGATTTAAAAATTCATCAGAATCACGTACTATCAAATGTTACATGATCCATAATGAGAAGCTACGTACGTATACCGAAACTTAATAAGCAAGAATAACCCACTCTAACTGAATTATAACCATAATAACATAAATATCTGCTAAAGTGTAAATGTTGGCGGAAAATTATTTGTGGAAGGTCTCAAAAAAGCAACTTCTACTGATACTTGCTTTACTTAAACAGAACGATTTTGTGGATTAACTTTATCAAGAGAGGATACTTGATTTATAGCATGTCTGCTTAAACTGGTTGACGAAATTGCAATATTTCCTGCATAAACCATGGCAAGAGAGCCACCCAAGATTTAATCTAAACTTAGTTTCCACGTCGAAGTTCCACTTTCACTTCTGAAAATAATGCGAAAAAAATGGTTATAATACACGGTATCGCACAAATTTATAAAACTACGGATTGCTATATTGTGTCCACCATATTAGTCTCTAGTTTCAAGAAAAGTAAACATGCTTGACTGTATTCAAACATATTGAATTGTAAACCACAAAAATTGTATTCAAAAATTTGAAGATTTAATTTGATATACTTTTATCAGTGAAAGGACAAGCTCATAGCAAGACAAGATACATTTAATTTGGAAGTTATGAATATATACAATTGTGTTATTTGATAATAAAGCCTTTTTTTCAATGTATAATTTACATGTAAAGCTAAGTCAAGCTCATGTGCATAGAAAAGTAACAAAACAGGTATAAAAAGTGATTGATGAAACGTTTCATTCTCGATACGAGATATTAATAATCGGATGCTAATGTTCTACTTCTTGGTCCTTTTCATACATTCCATCTAGTTAGTCCTGCGCAATTGCATAGCCTTCCTCAGTCACTTGCTTTATAATTTATATGGTATTGAGGTTCAGCATTTACATACCGATAAGCCATTTATGCAATGTGTTAGTCTTGAAACACTTAAAGAATAAGTCCAATGTGGCTTTTATATATTAAAATCAATTGCACAAAATTTTGTCTAAACAAATCCGGCCACTTCCCGATTTTTAAGTTTATCCTTAAATTAAACCCGAAACTAGAACTTTTTTGCTAGTTGTGATGATGTGTCTTTCGATAAGATACAAATCAATGTAGCCACAATAGCAAATCCAATAACAACCTTTGAAATTAATAATGGTAATAATGGGATCAAAGAATGCAGATTCAATAGCACTTGATCACGAAAATATATTTAACTTGCATAAATAAACAATTGGCTCGTCAAATGAAAACTTGAATGGTGATACTACATGTAACTTGCAAGATTAATTACTGATTTTCATTTCTTCAGCATTTGCAATAGCATGCAATCTCGAGATGCATCACGCAACACAAACTACTGTTTGAAATTACAGGTACTGTATTTCTTTTCTTTAAAGTTATATTGAAATAGCAATTCCACTTACGAATTAAGCATACTTAAGTAATTAATGAATTTATCGTTATCGTTATCGTTATGTCTTTTTCATTGAATCTTTATCAAAGTAAATTACAAAACGTTATAACTCTGGTTCCAATGAAAAACCGTACTTTTAAAATTACATCATTTGTGGATAATTTGCTCCATAAAAATCATTCGATGTGTAACACCCCCAATCGCAATACGTACATAGTTGACGAGTTATTACACCACCACCGATCACATTAAGTTAAACGTGTCATCATCTTCGATTGATTACAATCCGAATTAATTTACCGATAGTTAAAAATATTTGTGTATACATGTATTATGGCATCAAACACATCTAACCGAATAGCCGATTTGATTCTCATAACACACGCATCTCGAGGAGTCGCTTCAAAATTTTTATCACTGCAACGAGAAAATGCAAATTTCTTTTTAAAAACTTCGAATTGGCGCTGGTCGATAAATGTTTCTCAAGAGCATAAGTTTAAAGTTCAAGAAAAAGCATCACCGTCGCCATCACCGCCAGTACAAAATTCATCATTAGAAAATGAGACAACCACCACGTCTAAAATAAATTTTGTTGGATCGAAAAATAAAATTTTAAAAGATGATAAGATAATTTCGGAAATTAAGGAATCAAAATTTGAAGAAAGAGCTGAGAACGTAGCATCTTCTGAGGTAATATTTGATAATGACTATAGAAATGTTTGTATTCAAATGGAAGCACTTAATAACAATAATTATTTTAGGTACGATTGAAACCTGTATTAAAAGAATCAAAAGTGCCAGCTAGCAGAATAAATCGGTTATTTCAATATGGCGGTAATTAGAAAAAAAATATTTGATTATCCTCTCATGAGTTTATGTATTAAACAATGATCATGTATTTTTGAAGGACTTGCGGTTGGACTGGGATTTGGTGCAATTGGAGAAGCGACTCGTCGTGCTGTACGTGGAAATAAACACGGAGAAAGTTAGTAGGGAATTTAATTTACCTGTTAAATTGATGCATCAGCAATTCAATGAAATTATGTAATGAATAAAAGGCAGCGGTTCTCTATTGATGAGTGAAGCAAATGTTGACCGTTTGGCGAACAAGTTGACACGAATGCGTGGAGCGGCCTTAAAAATGGGTCAAATGATTAGCATACAAGGTATTATGAATATTTTTATTTAGTTTTGGGCTCTTATGTTTTGTATTGAATGTTCAAATTTATATATTCTTTAAGATAATAAGATGCTACCAGAGCCTTTGGAAAAAATATTGTTGAGAGTTCAAAATAACGCAAATTATATGCCTAAATGGCAGTTAGAGGCGGGTTTCACATTTTCGAATTTATTTCAAGCCCATTACAAAAAATTAAATAACATTTAAATATATAATATAGGATGTTTTGAGAAATGAACTCGGACCACATTGGCGTCTGAAATTCACAAATTTTGATGAGATTCCGTTTGCTGCTGCTTCAATAGGTCAAGTTCACTTAGCAACACTACGAGACACCGGCTATAAAGTAGCTGTAAAAGTTCAATATCCTGGAGTGGCCAACTCCATCGATTCTGATCTTAATAATCTTAAAACATTGGTGACTTTTAGTAATTTATTGCCAAAAGGACTTTACCTTGAGAATACGATAAAGGTCGCAAGACGTGAGTTAGCCTGGGAGACAGATTATCTTCGTGAAGCGAGATGCATGGAACGGTTTCAAGAGTTACTGAAGGAAGATGAGGATTTTAGCGTGCCGATTTTGTTGAAGGATTTGACAACTGCTATGGTTTTAACGAGTGAGTTTATGGAAGGTGATCCGATGACTATAGTTGCGGCAAGGTATAGTCAAGAGATTCGCAACATGGTAAAAATTATCCAATCCTTTTTTTAGTATCTTCGTATATTTATATCGCTAATTTTGAATTATGTAAAAAGATCTCTCAAAAGATACTTCGTTTATCTCTTCGTGAACTTTTCGAATTTCGATTCATGCAAACCGATCCAAACTGGACGAATTTTTTGTATAATCAACGAACGAGAAAGGTGACAATAACAAAACCTGATATCAATTCTCTGTTTATCAAGTGTTAACTATGTAATGATTAGATCGAATTACTTGATTTTGGAGCAAGTCGGGAGTTCGGTGAAGAATTCATATATTTGTATCGGGAAGCGCTAAAAGCCGCGGCAAGACAAGATTATGAAGGATGCATTTATTATTCTGAACAATTAGGCTTCTTGACTGGACTGGAAACAAAGGTAATGAATGCATTATCATTCATTTAATAGAAAACAAGAATTGAATATATTTAAATAACCTCAAATTGCTTACGAAGTCTATGAAACGAGCACACGCCGAATCAATGATGGCAATCGGTGAACCTTTCGCTTCTCCATTATACGATTTCTCAACGCAGACAGTCACAGAACGTGTTCGTAATCTGATTCCAATCATGTTGAAGCACCGTTTGACTCCTCCTCCCGATGAGACTTATAGTCTACATAGAAAATTATCGGGCGCGTTTTTGTTATGCGCAAAAATGGGGGCAAAGATTAGATGTAAAGATATTTTTGAGGAAATTATGTTTCATGGGAGGAATGTTGCTTCCGTGCAATGACATGAATAAAGTACGATTATTTCAGAATTCGAAAGTTTAAAAGCCTAAGAAATGTTTTTATATAAACAAGAATCATGTAAAATAACATGAAATATAATATTATTTTATTAATTTTTTGGAAACATCGCACACGTATTATTGTAACTTCATCAGATTATTAGGCAGACGCGTTTTAGATTCTCCATTTCTTTAACTTATCCAACTCAGCGGTGGTGGTCTTGTTCGAGGTCCAAACTGAACTGGCAACCAACATCAGCGGTGCCTTTAACATGATGCATTTTCTTATCGAAAAAGTATTTCTCGACAAAGGTTTGCAACGAGGAACAAATCCTATTAGTAGTTATTTTGAGAGAAAATAATGTATTAGAGGACATTGAGTAGTCAAAAAAGGAATGCCAAAAATCAACCAGCAATAAACGAATATGTCCAAATGCTCTTTTCGATAGCGAGAGCTTGGGTTCAAGATTCGGCGGGAGAACTTCAGGTTCTTAGATTATCTTAATTTCTGTTCGTTAGCTTGAAGAATGAATATCGGACAAACGGACAGCAGAAGAGATCGATAGAAAATTATTACAAAAGTTCTGAAAATTCAAATGAAAAACACGACATTCACACTCATGTGCCTGCACGTTATTCCTTGTGGCGGATTAAAATGAAATCAGATTAAAATGAAACAGAGTAGGATGTTTTCATTTTAATCTAGTTTCATTTTAATCTGTCACATTCATTGCTGCATGGCAAAAGTAGAGTAGACTAAGGATAACAATTCTCAATTCGAAATTGATTGTTCGTTCGATTAATTGAATCTACTCAAATTTGCATTTCCAATTCTAAATTTTATTGAAAAAAACCAAGCTTTTATTATGAAAACCAATCTTTTATTGGTTAATAACTTACAAATATAGACCAAATATAGTAACTGATAATTAATTTTAGCCAATGAAAACAAAGATTGGTATGTTTACGTATTACTGATCATTAAGGACTTTTTTGGTATTAAATTACATTGTATGTATATGTAACAGTATCGTCATCATTATTAAATTAATGCAAGGTGTAGTGATTACTACATGTATTACATGTACGCATGTGTATTATTATTTTAATTGTAATTAGTTGCACTACCGCTAGTGCCATCACTTTTATTAAAACGTGTCTAGTATTCAATTATACGAGTTTATTTACCATCACTTTTTCGTTGCTTGAAAGGTAAAACTTTTCTCTGGTAAATTTATCTTTATCGAAATAACAAATTATTAAACCTGTTATTTTTTATTTTCATATCATATCAAGCCACTAAATAATAACACAGCCACCATTCCCACACGCGTTCTCATATAAAAACATCGAATATTTGTTAACTTCCTTTCACAAAACTTTTTTATTAGTAGGCTTTATCATCTTCACAATGAATTTTAAACTCCTTTTTAACGTATTATTCTTCTTGATCTTTGTCTCACATATGGTTTTTAATGATGTTTCAGCAGCAAAACCTAATGATGGTATGTAAAGAGAAACCTTTTCGAAGAAACTTTAGCAGATTAAATAATATTTTCAATTATCAATGTTACAGCTATTAATAACGTTCATACGCCATCGTCACAAAATTCCAACTCAAATTCGTCGCCGAGCACTAACACTAATAGTAATAGCACTCCAACAAATTCCAACCAAAGCTCCCCCACATCATCAAATTCTAATAACAAAAACAGCAACAACAGCAGCAATAGTAATAACAACAACAGCAGCAATAGTAATAACAATAACAGCAGCAATAGTAATAACAATAACAGCAGCAATAACAACGATACCAGCAGCAGCAGCAACAACAATAGCGATCAAAACAACACCATTAGTAATACAAACTTTGTAAGATTCGAATTCAAGTATATTGATTTTAATTTTATGATATGTAAATATTCTAATACTACTTACTCACTCTACTTAGATACCACCAGCAGATACTGGAAAAGTTCATCCAGGCACAAACACGGTAGATTTCTCTGCTGTCGCATCTTCAATTCTGCCTATTACAGATTCATACGTGTTCTTAATTGGATGTCATGTAGTTGCTGTCGTTGTTTCAGCATTTGTTTAAATTCTCGAGTTTTGAAAATAATATTATTTAGAAGTCAGTAATGTAAAATATGCACTTATTAGAATAACGTTTTCTCTCGCGATATGAGAAATAATAGAAATTTCATGTGTACGACGACTTAAAGATTCGCTATGTATGTACATACATATTAATTTTACAAATTAAATTAACCATGTTGGCAATGAAGAACAACTCACTCTCAATATAGTGAACTTTCGATATAGTGGAAAATTTTTTTAGAATCATTAATACACTTCAACTCGATATAGTGAAGCAATATAATATTCTCTCGATATAAACTATAGTGAAGATTTTTCCCTTATCCCCGATGTCTTCACTATAACGAGGTTTGAGTGTAATATTGATAAATTTACATTTCCAATGATAAACAACAAAATGTATTTTATTGAAATTTTTTGGATTTCGGACGTAACATTATTATCGTCGTCGTTGTTGTTATTGTTATTATTATTATTACTATTACTATCATCATCATCTAATCCTTGAATGGATTCCGTTACCATTTCATATCCCTCAATAACATCCCACGCATTTTTTTAATCGATCCTATAATATTACAAAATTTACAAAATTAAATTAGTATATATATAGCTTCTAGTATTGTAATTGTTACGGATAAGCTTAATCAGAGTTTTAGTACATAGTTTCTAATATTACAATAATAAGCTCAATTAAATAGAATTCAATTAAATAGAATCAATAAGAAAAAAAATAAGGATTTTTTTTAAATCTATTCCTTTCGGATGATGTTTAACAACCGAGTCTCTGGCCCGTACTGAGAGTTCTTCGCAGACTACATAGCAAGTATGGTATGGATAACCGGAGTATGGTAAATATACAATACTAACCAGCTCACCATGCCCATACTGGATACTGCAGCCCGTTTTCTCGAAGACGATGTGTTCGGGTATGGTTTACTCGGGCTTCGTGGGTAATCCTTTTGACAACCAATATCTGGTGTTAAACAGCCAGATTCAAAATTATATAAGGGGAGGATGGTATATACATGAGAGTACTTTACATGAGGATACTTTACATAGGGTACTTTATATGCCGACACTTTACAATACATTGGGAGGGGAGGGGGTTACAGATTTTATCATATTTCATCATTAGCATTATTGATGAATATACTTAACTTGAAATTTTTCTTTGTCTTGGGGAAGAAGCTGATTTACGATTATCAATATTTTTTAAACAAAATATGAATCTTATAATTGCATTTAATGGATGTTCGTATTTTATTATATAATCTGCAAGGACAGCTTCGTTAGTAGATATTATGTATTATGAATGAGAAGAAAAGGTGAATGAGAAAATAAAAAAATTATTTTGATCAATTTATACGCAGCTAGAGCGTTTAGATAAATTACCGTCACCATTTTTTCATTGTTAGCAAATGATGATGTAATGGTAACTAGAGATTAGTAGACTAGTCATGGCAGAAAAATTTCCAGATTCCGACCTCCGATCCTTATTCCGGTCACACCGTACCACGTGATGTTCTCATGTGGCATATGGATCGAGGTTTAGAGTTAACTGGTAGCAAACAACAAAAGAAAGAAGTTGGAAACACGGCCGCGTAATAAAAGAAAGTTTGGTAACGAAAGAAAGAAGTTGAGAGCACGAAAGAAAAATTGGTAACACGACCGCGCGTAACGGAACACGGCCGTGTAACAAAAGAAAGTTCCTCTTTACTTTACATACATGTTGGAATGAGGCCAAGTCCACCTGTTCCAATAAAGTGATTTCGCGAACTGAATATCTTTGCGTTTTTTTTAGTTTCCGTCCAAATACACAGAACGCTAAAAAAAACCATTAGCCTCTGAAGGAAGAAGATAGATGAAAATAAAAATTACATTGAATGATTATGATTATTTTAAGAAATAAAATCCACTTACCTTTGGTCATTAATTTTTTTTCCAACGATTATTGTGAAGATATTCGCAGTCAAGGGCTGTGATTTTCTTTAAATCAGCAAATGCTAGGATTTTAAATTAAAAAAAAATCGCAGTCCTGGACCATTAGCTGTTCCCAACTTCTTTCTTTTGTTACCAATCTTAGGTGTCGTGCATGGTTTCATTCGTTGCGCGATGTTAATTTTTCTAAGCAAATGTTCAAGTACAATAATCGGCAATTTGTTAGTTAACTCTAAACTTCGACCCATATGCCACATGAAAACATCACGTGGTACAGTGTGACCGGAATAGGTATCGGAGGTCGGAATCTGGAGAAATTTTCTGCCATGACTAGTCTACTAACTAGAGATCCGAATCAATCATTTTTTTGTTAATCGATTATTCAGTCATTTATAGCCAAGTCAATCGATTGGATCCGATTAACTATCATTTAATTACAAATCGGATCATTCGCATGACCCGTCGATTCAGTTAATTACAAATCGGACCATTCCGATGAGCTGTCGATTCATTTAATGAGAAATCGGATCATTTGGACGTTCTGAGTGCGTGTAGTATACATCGATCGATCCAAGGTAATAAATTATTTTATTTAATCAAATAAATGAACTAAATTTTATTTTACAGTAGCGTTCATAAGTATCCGAACGCCTTTTAAAGTTGGTATAATTTCTACATCGGGGGTGGTTTATGTTCATAAACTTTCACGCTCTAAATATAATGAAACGGTCACTTTAGGACGTAAGATCTTGATGTCTAGTGATCGGATTTGAGCGAAAATACTATCGTCTGACTCATTTAGTCGAGATGAATCGAATGGTAGTATTTGTGTTCGAATTTGATCACTGGGTGTCGAGATATTACGTC